AAAAAAAAAAAAAATACTATGGGTGGCTCTTGATCTTAAGTTTCTCTATAATATATAACTGTTTTCCATTAACATTCTGCAGGGATTCAACTACTAAAACAACCATGGTTGGTAAGAAATAACAGCCCTCCAGCTGTGGTTTATACTTCAAAAGTGCTTGATGTCTTAACTATTATAATAGTTACCTCACTGCTCCTACTGAAATACTTATGTCACTGATCTTCTCTTCTGGGTGTTCAACAACTGACGTTTGGAGACCAAAACTAGAAAGGTAACTGGGCTATGAGGACAGCCAATATTTTGTCCCTGGCCCCTCAAGGTCAACAAAGACCCAGGACACAAAGGAACCTTTCCTACAGGATCCTACGTCTTTGGTAAGTCACCCAACCTCTTGAGCAGGGAGATTGCTGGGCACCAGAGGGCAAATGTACCATATGCCAAAAGAGGATGACAAAGAAGAAAAATATCTCCCACACTTTCACTGAAAGCAACATGGTCAAGCAAGGCTGTAACCCATGCTGACAGCTGACACTGACAGAGGAGCTGAGAGGCTCTATCCATAGTTCCAAAGTAGTGCCCGAGGAGACTTAATTGACCTTGATAGATACCAAGAAGTTCATACTGATTTGACACAGGTCTCACTTTAACTTGGTCTTAAGCACCCAACAGAAAAGAATAACCAAAAGAGGTATAAAATAATGCCATAGTAATAAAGCTAGATATAAAAAGGGGCTCCAGTCGCTGACTCCTTCTGGCAGTTTCCAGCTACACCAGTAGCTGACCATGGTTATAGATCACTAGGAAAAACTATGGTAGAATCTCTAAGAGCTCAGCTAGAGTTTTAAATTTCTTAGTGAAATTTGTTCTTCATATTGTCTCTTATTTTCTTACAACTAAAAGTAGAGAGGCTTATAGTATCAGAGGCTTAAAAGTATCAGACTTATAGATAACTTCTATCAATGAAAGAATCTAAAAGCCAGCAGGTTACAATCACTATTTCAATTTCTAAGTGTAACTTTCTCCCCAACCTGCCCTTCCATTCTAGTGTGCTCATACTTAGATTATGCATGCTCTAAATTCTTAAAAGTTTTGTTTGTTCTTGCCTAGACGCTGCCAAACTCCAAGCAGTCATACAAATGGAGCCAATGACAAATGTGCTAGACTTTTTTTTACTGGGAACCACCAGATCTACCTTGTAAACAGTTATGAGCTCATAACTGCTAAATTACTTCTCTGTTGGATTCTGAAGTCCCCTGTACCTTCTCCTTATCCTCTGTGGGAGGCTGTTACTAGTTCCTCCCTATGGAAACCCTTGTTGGCTTTATTCACAGCAGTCCTGCTGACCTTAGTATTTGGTCCGTGTATTCTTAACTGTTTCTTTGGCTTTGTCTCCTCCAAACTGAAAGGTATAAGGCTACCCAAGATGACAATGCCTGGCACCTATCAAAGGCCTTTAGATAGACTCTGGAGAGTAACTCTGACTGCTGATCAGTACTACGACCCTCTTCAGCTGGAAGTAGCCAGATTGGTCTTCACGCTTTGCCCCTGCACAGCAGTTAGGGGTCCTTCTTCAGAGAGGGGACACTGCAGATAGGTAAGTTAATTAGATATCTTGTAGGAAGTTAGACGGGGCCTCCCTTAAGGCACCAGCCCTCGAGGAGCAAACACAGCAAGGAGCCAACATGGAGGCCAGTGAAGACACATTCACTGAAGGCCAACATCTTAAAAGGAGAGAAACTACACACCCATGTAGGATGAATAGCAGTGATTGATATTCTAAACAGGTATCAATCACCTGGGTGTCGGCCCAAGGTCTTAACCCAGCCTCTCCAGGAAATATCCCCCACCCACCCTTACTGAAAATCCTGGTGTGCTTGCTATATGACTTTCTTCCCCCTCTTTGATCCCCATTTAACCAATATTACCTGGGTGACTGTACTTGTAATCTCATTGGTTGGTCATGGTTTTGCCCCACCTCATGCCCACCTTGTAAATTTCCATTGGGTCTTACAGTTCTGTCCCACTTTGTACCCACCTCACCACAGGGCTTTGATGTATAAAACATCTCTGAACTGTGGGGTGGGTGGGCAACCCACTTCCAGTCCCCCTTCTGTCTCTCTTAGGCAGAAGCTTTCTTTCTCTCATTAAATTTTTCCTACTCTTTAAAATAAAATAATAGTACATTTTTCAGATTTATTGAAGACACTGTTTAATCCTGGAAAAGTTGTTAGATGACTCAAGGCCAGTGATGGCAAACCTTTTAGACCTTTCAATGATAACAAACAGCCTGCTGCAGCACACGTGCCAAAGGTTTGCCACCACTGACCTAGGCCACGTTAGATATGGCTCAATAAAAATGATTAAACATGACAGCTATTTTAAGTGTTGACATTTCTGCGTTAAACAGCTTCAAAATGTATAAATAATTCTCAAAAATGATTCCAAAAGTTGCATCACTCACCACTGTGCCCTTCAAGCGTCTGATTCATGGAAAGATTACTGGGTGCTGCAAGACCCCTCAGTTTTGCATCATCTGAAACAAACAAGGGGCTCAGTAAATACAGAAAAGTGACAGAAGACCTTGATATATACTTCTTTTTTGTGTACCTGGTAGATGTTAGAATGATTTTCAGAAGTTTATCTCATTCCCATCTCTGTCTTGTGGTGCAAACGTGACAATAATACATACCCTTGCAAAGGTACTACTCTAGTAAAATAAAGCAAAATGCGTAAAAGAATAGTTTACGTGGTGTGTCCAATGCAAGAATAATCATCACTGCTGCATATCTCTTCTTCCCAAAAGATCCCACTGGGAATGCCTGTGGCATATAGACTGAAAACGCTAAAGCTTATGAGGCCAATAGCAAAGAGTATGAAAACAGATTTCACAGAATCTCACATTCTCCTGGCATCTATTTATTCAACGATTATTTCCTGAATGTGTACGCTGTGCTTGGCACCATGGAAGGTTCAGTGTTTAAAATGAACAACATGCTCACTACCTCTCTTTCCTCTGAGAGCTTGACATCTATGAGAGAGATCAGAGTTACATGTAAATGTCATTGTAAGGTGAGAAGTAAAGGCCTAACAAGAAACAGCAACAGAGGGGGCTTAATTCGGACTGGGACCAGGGAAGCTTTCTGAAGAATGATATTTAAGCTGAGACAGAGATGGCAAGGCAATGTGGGTTCAGGGGTGCATTCCAGGCTGGCAACATCAAATGCTAAGGTCCAGGTCTCTGTGGAGGAAAACAATGGCGGAAACTCCCTCAGATGAGGCCAGAGTGATAAACAGGCATGGAAAAAATTGAGGAGTCTTTGTAGGAAATTATAAGAAAGATTTTATGCAAAGTGCAAAAGGAGCCTTTAAAGACTTTTTAAAAATTTATTCTCTTTGATTATTAATCATCTTACAGAAAATTATACGATATTAAAATGTCATCACAATAAATTAATCTTCACTTAGAAAATCTGATTGTTCGATAGAACACTTAAAACTTTCATTTAAAAACACAAATTTTATGATCTTACAAATTTGAGAGAATGGCAATTATAAAACTGGTACCAAAGAAAATTCCATTTTCAGATGACAAGTATTTTAGACATTTTGAAATATATTCTTTATTCTGAAAACACAACCAGTGAAAAATCCCTGAAATTCTGTAAAATCACTAATCTAATTACCCACTTGCTGTCCTGGGATCATTCACAAGAGTACACGGTGCAATTTAAAACTCTAATTGTCTGTCAAACAGTTGAGATGGAATGAATGCTGCTGACATGTGTTAGGTTTTAACAAGTGTTCTTTCACTCATCTGTAACATGCTTAAACTTTATTCTAATATTCCAAAAATATTTGATGGAGCATTGTCCTTAACGTTCAGCCCTGAAAAATCCACTCTAATGCCTTTAGCAAGAGTCACAGTATCCAAGTAAAATCACGGTGCTGCGTTTTTGAAGGTTCCAGGACCCAGCAGAGCTGGGGAAATGATGAACTGGCCCATCTCTCCACTTGCTTATGTGCCCCCAAATCACAGTTCTGCATAGCAGAGTATTTGCCTTTCAGTGAACCATAAGATAGGATACTCTCAAAAAAATACAGGCTGACAGGTAAGAGTATCGGGCTTTGAAATTCACCTTGAAATACCGATCAAATGTCACTCAGCTCTGAACATGTCTCTTACACAACTTAAAAATGCAAAGAATATTCATAACACCCACCTAAAGGTTCACAGATATAAAAAGGTCAAATGTTTTAACTTAGATTGAGCAAATTCAGCAATACCCCAAGATTTTATCTAGTTACATTATGAAACTCCACATAGCCAATAAGGCAGCAAAACCAAACTGGCATGGGAACAAAAATTTGGTAATATTGACAAAAAATTTTAATAGCACTTTCCCATAACCCTTGGATTTAAAAAACCTGATGAAAGAAGGGGCCAAAAAATAAAGCATCTTAAAACCATGAAGAAAATTTCTAATGAAATAAGTAGTTCCAACAACCCAAGTACTTCAAAAGTCCAAAGAAGCATGTAAAAAGACTACAGTATAATAAAGTGACAGAATGAAGGGTATAACGTAGGAAAATGAACATTCTGCTAACATTGCTCAAAAATATTCTGAAATCATTACTTTTCTACAACATTATATAATCTTCTTTTTCATATCTGTCTGTATTTCGCATCTGCAAAGACATCTGCCTCATGTCCACATCTGATGGCAGGAACATACGGAAGCATGGTTTTCCAGTCACTCTTGCTCTCAGGGTCATCACTTCCAAAGGACGCCATGCCCGGGCCCTGCTCTTTTGGTTTGTTTTGGGTTGATGTGTCCCATAACTGCTCTTCTGTTTTCCACTCAAGAATAATACACTTCGGAATATATCTTAACCCTTTGGGTTGTATGAATAACTGACTTCTTCTCATTTTTTCCCTGAATACTTTAGTGTAGAGTATCTTTCCTAAGAGTAAGGACATTCCCTCACCAGTAACCAAGCACACTACATCTTTAAGAAATTAACTCTTTGAAAAATTTTACTGACAGTGCTTTTATAAAAGTTTGCCTCGAAAAAAAAAGAAGTTGGGCCAGGGATTTCGCCCAGTGGTTCCACTGCCTGCCTTGCAAGCACAACGTCCCGAGTTTGATCCCCAGTACCAAAAAAGACAAAAGAAAAAAAAAAGTTTGCTTCTATAAAAGTCGACAGTGTAGGAAATTTGATACCCAGAATCAAATATTTGGAAGACTTCTTTGCAACACTCAAAGAGACAGTGGAATTCTGAGCAAGAGATGCTCCCATTTGCTCCAGATTCACTGTACTCACCTGTCTACCTTGCTTCTCCTCATGAATGACCGCAAGGGACTATCTCACATCCAGGCTACAGGCAGGTGTGGACTCGGGACCTGATGTTTCCGATCAATCTTTTTGCCCTGGACACACTGGAAGGCGGAGCTATCCTCACTGTTGTGGTTAGCAGAGGTCAGTGCAGGTGGGTACACTTGGTTTGCATGGCCCCTGAATACATTTCCTCTAATCTGAAGTTTTGCTTCAGGCCTCACAACCTCCCTGGCATTGGCAGTAGAGATGCAAGAGATGACACCTCATCTGGGCTCAAGCCCCAGCTACTGGGGAGACTGAGGCAGGAGGATCACTTGAACCCAGGAGTTCAAGGCCAACCTGGGAAACATGCCATAGCCAAGCCCATCTTCAAGAGAAAGACAGAGGAGAAAGGGAGACAGACTGACTGACTACCTCAACCCTAGTCAGGGTAATTACCCTCAGACGCTATCACAAGCAACTCCATCCCAGACCAGCCGCCCTTTAGACTTTTCAGCAGGAAAATGGCATGAGCTGCACCCCCCCACACACACACCTGTTCTAAATGACGCTGGCTGGGGAGTGAACAATGACTAGGAGGCACGGGACCATGCAGAAAGGCCATTCTCACAGCAGGTAAGTCAGGCGGCAGTGGCTGGAGCTGGAGAAGTCACAAGGGAGACAAAGGGAAAGGTGGGGTCCAGGCACACGCAGGAGGCAGCAGCAAGAGGATATGGGTGGAGGTGGTGCTAGGGGAGAGGAAGAAGGGTCCCCAGCTTGTGCAGATGAGTGAGTTAGGGCACCAGCTAAACTGGAGGGAATGCAAAGAAGGGATCTGGAGACCAAGAGTTCAGTTTTGCAGAAAGTAAGAATGAGATGTCTGTGAACGATTCCAGTAGAGCTGCCCAAGTCTGAAACGTCAGGACTGGACTGGAAATATAAACGGGAGTTATCACCCTTCAGGTGCCATTTATGGCCACAGAAATGAAAGGACAAACCTAGAGAGCAAATGAAGAGAGAGCCCAGAAGAAAGTTCTCAGGAATTCTAGTGTCTAGAAGAGAAGAAGCTGACAGAGCCTGAGAACTGCCCAGAAAGGAAGGGGGTGATAATATGTTTCAATATGAAAATAATTTAAAAGATTTGAGTTCCCCATCTTAAAAAATAATGTTTAAAAAATAAAAAGAATAGTGGGAGGGGAAGGGGAAAGGAAAGAAGGGAAAAGAAAAAATATGAAAAAAGGTGAAACATGGAAACAAAGTCTTTGTAAATAGGGAAGGGTGGAGGGGGTGAAGGGAGGGCAAGGGAAGGGGAAAATACAAGAACCAAGATGCGTCATGTAAAGGTGCAAGGTCCCAACGATGACTGTAACTGTACTGTATACCCAAAATGTACCAGTAAACTAAATGGAAAAATAAAAGAATAGTGAAACCCATATGAGGGCTGAATGAAAGCTGTCCATTAGCTTTAGAACATGCAAGTCTCGGTAAGGGCCAGCAAGGGAGAGAGAGCTGGTACTGACAGGAGAAAGGAGGTGGGGTGGTGCCACTCACTCGCCTATAATGCCAGCATTCTGAACAGCTGAAGCAGGAGGATCGCAAGTTCAACCTCACCCTGAGCATTAGCCAGACCCTGTTTCAAAATTTTTAAAAAGTAATTAACTAAGTTAAGGGGCTGTAGCTCAGTAAAGGCAAAATCCTGGTTCAATTAGTCCCCAGTGCCAACTAAATAAATAGGAAAGAAAGGAGAGAAGTCCCAAGCAGGTAAGAGGAGATGGACTCACGAAAAACAAGGGAGCTGCCCTAAGAGAACATGCAAATGAGGCCTTTCCTCCCAAACCTGGGGCTGCAAAGTGGTGCTGCCTGCCGTTCTGGATGGTCCCATGGCTGCACATATTGGAAACCTTAATAAACACACACACCCTGGATGCAGGGAATGTCACGTCTAGAAATTTATCCTAGAAAGTACTGAAAAGTTTGTGCAAAGACTTGGATACAAAGATATTGTTATTCAATAGTTAAGTGTGCAGAGACTTCTAAACATCCAACATACAATTGGTGAAGCAAAGTACATGACACCAATACATTGGAATACTAGGGGCTGGGGATTTAGCTCAGTGGTTCCGGCACCTGCCTCACAAGTGCAAGGTCCCAAGTTCAATCCCAGGTACCAAAAAAAAAAAAAAAAAAAAAAGAATACTAAATACCACTAAAATGGTG